TCCAATTTAGACCACAGGCCAGGACATGAACAGTCCACAGAAAGAGAAAGACAAATAGCTTAAACCATATGAGAGGCTCGCAACACAACTCACCAGGAAACCCCTATTAAACCACAACATGATGCCACTTCTTTTTCCTGTAAAATTAGCAGAAAGAAAGTTGCTAACACACCGACTGATGGGGCTGCGAAGACACAGTCTCAGAGCGAAGTCTCACAGGCTGGCAGCATCGGCCGAAATCTAAACACATGGGGATTTTCAACCAGTGAGTCCACGTTTAGGAATTTCTTCTACTGAAACAGACGCAGAAGTGAGTAAATATGTAGGCACAAGTATGTTCATACGTGACTGTCTGTCACTGCAAACTAACAAACAAAAACAGGTAAAACAACCCAGAAAGCCAGAAAAGACCAGTAGGTACACGTGGGACCTCCCCTCTGTGAGATATTCAACCAGGATGGAGGACCTTTGTATGTCCTGACGCAGAACAGAAAGTATATTAAAGTTTTTAAAAGTACAGACCTGAGATTATTACAATTTGGTAAAAAAAAAAAGAGAAAGAGGAGGCATACACACACTGCATATGCTTGTTCATGAGCAGAACCTCTCTCTCCAGACGTATCCTCAAGAAACTGAAGAGAACTGGCATCAGAGGGCAGGAGAGGGAGGGAGGTGTTTCACGGCTAATTGAAGGGCTGTTTGGATTAACAGTTGAAAAATATTTTCAACACCTGCAAGTATTACCTTTAAAAATGTTTTTTAAAGAAAATTTAACCCATGCAAACATTGCCTTAAAAAGAAGGGAAGTGGTGGAGTGGGCTCATAGCATGTCAAACTCAAAGGCTAACACGGCCCAAATAAACAAGGTTGAAGTTTATGTGGGCCGCAAAAAAACAAAAGCTTCCATTTTCATAGAAATGTAGGTTTATTTAGAAAAGTATAGTATAAAAACCAACAACAAGAGCAATGATAAAATTAATGTTTTCTTCCTGACACTTGGCATCTCTTCTCTGCTACTATCTTTCCTATTTCAGGGGAAATCGTGTTCACAGTGATTACTTTCAAAACTGACCCAAGGTGAGTGTCAGTAATTCTGGATCTGACAGGAGACTTATTTCCTTTCATAATTGTAAATAACGGCTCACACCGTTATACTGGCTGGGCCACAAAAATATTCGTTGTGGGCTGCATGCGGCTCTGAGGCCGCGAGTTTGACATGCTTGCTCTAACCACCCTGCTGGTAAGACAAGCATCTCCACTATGACAAGCATCTGGGCAGCCAAACATCTCTCTCAAAGCACAGGGCTCTAAAATTGCACCACTCGACGGTAACCCAGACTTCCACACTTACTAGCTGTCACAAGATGGGCAGCTGTCTTACTCACTGAGCCTCAGTTTTCTCATCTGTGAAACAGGGGCAGTGGGAGTACACCCTGCACAGACTCGCTGTGAGGGGCATGCGTGTCTGCACGCAAGGCGCTTGAAGGAGAGCCTGGCACACAGTGCATGCTCAATAAACGTCCATTGTTATATACTCTCCTGTTTGCCTTTTTAAGCCAACTCATGAGATCACCTAGTTAGTTCAACAATGAAAGGGTATTGGAATTTTCCTAGAAGGCAACAGTTCTCCACCCCACCCCCCAGAGTCCTTACTGATTTGAAAAACTCGGTCTGCTCCCCAGTTTAGTTGTCTGTGTGGCCCGTGATGTTTGGGTGAAAGCTGGGGGGTGGGAAAAGCAAGTGATCCGCCTCCTGCCCAGATACACATTCTCCATCTCCAGTGACCTCCTGTCCCAAGCCTCACCCTGGGTTTGTTTGAGAACAACATCTGCTTTCTCGGGTGCCTCTGGTCATCAGGCTGACCCCTCTGCACCCCGACCTTGAAGGAAAGGCTCTGAGAGGCCTACTGGCCTCTGTCCTGCTCCTCAGCACGGCCAGCATGCCAGCAGGCTCACACCTCCTTCACACCTCAGGGCCTTAGCATGTGCCATTCTGCCTGAAATGTTCTTCCCCCAGAGAGTCACATGACTGTGTCTTGTCTACACTCAGGTCTCCGTTCAAATTTCATCCCCTCGGTACTGCCTGTCCTGGTGTCTCTACTAAACACAGCAGCCCCCACCATCCTTACGCTGCTCTGCTTTGCTCCATAGGATTCATCTGAGTTGACATTAAAATTGCTGTTCTTATTTGTTGCCATTTTTCCCACCAGAAAATAAGCTCTGTGAGGGAAAGTGCTGTCCGCTTCACTGCTGCATCCTTAACACCTGGAACAGTGCCTGGAACATACAGGCCTTCAGGAGTACTTGTTGAATGAATGAATGAATGAATGAATGAACAAATGAACAAGGAGACACAGAGCATGTCTTCTGGGGAAGCTTAGATCTCAGACTAAGCCTCCCAGCAAGAAATGCACTCTCAGGACTCAGAGAGGGACAGCTCACCACTCATCCGCCCTCCACCGCTCACTGATCCGTTACGAAGCCCCTAAGTCCTGCTCACAGTAACGAGGACATCCTACCCTGTGCCCAGAGCTTTGGGCCTGAAACGGTGCCATCTTCCCTCCTCCCTCAGGTCTGCCTGCTGCCTTTTCCAGCTGAGAGCCAAGTTCTCTGCCCACCACCACTCTGTTTTGTTTTTACAGCACTTATCACTCTGAAATCATGGGTCATCTGCATTTTTGCAGTCAATATTTGTTGAATGAATGAATGAATGAATGGCTCTTCTTCATACCCTCCACACAGAAGAAGTGCCATGTCTGGAAGAAAAAAATGAATCCACACATCCACTGCCTACACTTGATCTTGGTGTTTCTTATGTAGAGGGGCTACCAGACACCCAATTAGTTGCTAATTACATTCAGTCAGCTCTGGGCCTGGGGAAGGGCCAGGCTAATGAGGTTCAAGGGCAGCTGACGCTAGCCTCTTGACCTAGACATCAGGTCCTGGCACAGGGGCCTGGGTGAGTTCACTGACTAGAGCAGAAAAATCCACCGTGCACCTGGAGAAACAAGGACAGCTAGACTCAGCTCTAGGGCCAGGAAGGAACCCTGGAGGGGATGTGAGTTTGTCAGCAAAGCAGATACTGTTTACCTTCCCAGGAATCTCTCCAGTGTCTCTGGCAGATGCACCCAGAAGGGCTAAGGAAGGGCTGGCTTATCCTCCACCCAGCGCTCTCCTGGGGGCTGCCTGCAGGGACAGGCCCCCACCAGGCAGGGGCCTCAGAGGGAGGGCTGGCCTGGTCATGGGCGCCAGGGGCCACCGAGGCACTGGACAGCAGAATAGAGGCAATAGAGGCAACGGAGATGGAGGAAAGCCCTCAGGGTCTCCTAGTTCTATCTAGCAGGACCCACCCAGCCCAGCTGGAGGAGCCGGTGGCCGCACCCAACCCCACAGGCTTTCCCAGTGGCGCCCAGCCGTGTCCCCTTGCTGTCCCTGTCTCGGCCACCCGACCAGGTTAGATTCTGAAGGTGCCCAGTCGCTCTCCACACTCTTGCAGCCTCTTCCGGCTCTTCCTGGCTGCGGCCCCATGCCCTCCCTCAGCGTCCTGCCCGGCCCAACAGATGCTCCAGCCTGGCGCTCTGCGCAACGCACACAGTCCCCATCGGGGGCGGCGGGACCCCCAGCCTGCCTCCCCAAGGCCCTTACCCATCTCCCGCCGGGCTGCTGCTCCGCCCGCCCGCCGGCCCGGGCGTCCCATGGCCAGGTGCCCAGGTGCCCAGGTGTCCAAGTACGGAGGCAGCCAGGGCTGGGGGCGGAGGCCTCGTGGGCTGGGCGGTCCAGCTCCAAGGGTGCACTCGAGGGAGGGACAGGTTCCCGGCGCAGCGGCGGGGGTGGCCGGGGGCGGGGAGGGGAAAGGAGGGGAAGGCAGGACATGAGATAGGGCGGGGCGCGGGGCGGGGAGGGCAGCCAGGGGCGTAGCCGTCAGACTGGTCTGACCGCAGCGGCGCGGGGCTGGCTTTGGCTGGGCCGGTCCTGGCGGGCTCCTGCCCCCGCCCTGCGCGCTCCCCCACACCTCCCGCCCCCCGCCATGCGCCCCCAAAGCGCGCAGTGGGACAGTCAGTACTCAGAGGCCTTGCTCTGTCACTGTGCTGCTCTGTCTTTGTTAGATGGGGCCCTGGTGCAGGGTCAGAAACCCTATTAATTCTTAGTAATTCATTTGTTCACTCTACCAGCATTGATTGTGCACCTACTGTATGCATGTGAGGCACTGACGGGACATTGTGGGGTAGGATGAGTCAAATATTCCAAAAGATTGCATCCTGGCAGGGAGGTGAGCAGCAGCGGGATGCCAAGGGGGTAGGGGTTCCCTGAGGGGAAACCCTGGGAAGGAGGGAGCCACACGCAGAGCAAGCCCTCCATCTGCACCCACACTGACCTCAGATCCTCACCTCCCTCCTGAGTGAACACACAGGGGGTGAGTCTAAACAGCCCAAAGGAAAACAGTAGCTGAGCAGGCATTTGAGCAGTGAATTGCCTGCTGCTGGGGAGATTGGGGTTCAAGTCCTGCCCTTTTAGAGGAGCTTGTAAACTCTCTGGGCTGTCGGCTGAAACTTCAGAATGGTCACTCTTAAAGAGTAAAGACTACATCTCAGGATTAAGGGCTGTCCCCAGACTCAGGGACAAAACCAAAACCAATCTATCCCAAACCTAAAACGATACCTCTGCAAAGCCAAGGGCGGGCTCCCAGTCATTTCACTTCCTGCTGGAGCACATGGACACGCCCCAGAGGAAAATAACAGAACCCAGCACATCTACAGTGTATTTATCCACTACGTCCACTGTACGGCCAAAACCAAATATTATGACCAAAGATGATCTTATCACCCTATCACTCAGGAACTTACAAGGGTTTTTAGGAGCCCTATGTCAGGACCGGGAGCAAATACCAAATATATATTTCTTATATCACAATATCACACCTGTAGACGAGATGTTGGAATCAGAGGATAAAGAAATAAAAAAAATGAAAAGTATGATAAGGATGTTAAAACACCTACAGCAAAAGATGAATATAATGGGGTTAAGAGATAGGAAATGTCAGCAGAAATATGATCGCCATTATTTTAAAAATAAACAAACAAGAGGAATATAGCCCTAACTGGTTTGGCTCAGTGGATAGAGCGTCGGTCTGCGGACTGAAGGGTCCCAGGTTCCATTCCAGTTAAGGGCACGTACTGGGTTGCGGGTTTGATCCCTAGTAAGGGGCATGCAGGAGGCAGCCGATCAATGATTCTCTTTCATCATTGATGTTTCAATCTCTCTCCCTCTCCCTTCCTCTCTGAAATCAATAAAAATATTTTTTTTTTAAAAAAAGAGGAATATAGATAAATTTGCACTAGAAGGCAAATATCTGTCTTCATTTTTTATATTTTTAAATCTTTATTATTGAAAGTATTACATATGTCCCCCATTTCCCCCCATTGACCCCTTCTAGCCCACAACTGTCTCCCCTCCTCACCCCCTGCCCCTGTCTTTATTACCCTGGAATGAAGAGATACCTCAATCTTTTCCTGCCAGACAGAAGATGGATGAGTTTCTTAGATTTTCCTATGTAAGATCAGGGCCTCCCAATATTGGGGTTCCTCTGTTGTAACATGGCTCACTACCTGTGCAGGTAACATCTGGCCCCAGTCATATTACCCTGTGGGGATTGGAGGCAGGAACCTATGTGCAGGTTACTCTGCTTTGCTGTGAGTCATAAACTACCTCATCTTCTGCCAGTAACTAAAAACTGTGACATGCCAACACACTGACTTACTAGCAGAGAAAACTCAAATCTCAGGTCCTTTCACAGTTCCTGACTTAACAGAGATAAGAGAAAATTCTTACAAGAAAACAGAGGAGAAGATGCGCACTGCATACAGGGACCCAGTGATAGGAAAAATGGCTAACTTCTCATCACAAACAACATAGGCCAGAGGACAGTGCAACATCTACGTAAAGTGCTGATAGAAAAAAAAAAAAAGCTATCAGTTTATAGTTGTGTCTAGTTTTAAACGTATTTTAAATGGGAAGCCAAATGTGAACATTTTCAAATAAACAAAACCTGAGTTTTGCCACCGGCAAACCCAACTAAAAGAAAAGTGAAGTAATGTCTCGGGGTGAAGGGAAGATACAAGATAAAAATTAGAATCTACAGAAAGGAGCAAAGAAAACTGGAATAATAACTATAGGGGTTGATATAAAAGACTGTCTTAAATCACCTCACACCTGTCAGAATGGCTTCCATCGACAAATCAACAAATGACAAGTGCTGGCGAGGATATGGAGAAAAGGGAACACTAGTGCACTGCTGGTGGGAATGCAGAGTGGTACAGCCACTGTGGACAACCGTAGGGAGTTTCCTCAAAAAATTAAATATGTAACTCCCATTTGACCCCTACTTCTAGGAATATATCCTAAGAAATCCAGAGCACCAATCAGAAAGAATGCATGCACCCCTATGTTCATAGCAGTGTTATTTACAATAGCTAAGATCTGGAAACAGCCCAAGTGCCCATCAGTAGATGAGTGGATAAAAAAGCTGTGGTACATATACAACATGGAATACTATGCAGCAGTGAAAAAGAAGAACCTCTTAGCCTTTGAGAAACAATGGAGGGATCTAGAGAGTATTATGCCAAGCAAAATAAGCCAGTCAGAGAAAGACAAGTATCATATGATCTCATTCATATGTGGAATCTAAAGAACAAAATAAACTGATAAACAAAATATATCCAGAGGCATAGAAACATGGAACAGACTGTCGAATCTCAGAGGGAAGGCAGGGGTGGGTGGGTGGGAAGAAATTAACCAAAGAACTTATATGCATAACCCATGGACAAAGACAATAGTGTGGTGAAGGCCTGGGGTAGATGGAGGGGGCGGGCTAGAAGGGGTCGATGGGAACAAAAGGGTCATCTGTATAACTTTTAACAATAAAGATCATTTTTTTAAAAAAGGACTGTCTTCATTCTTGTGTTAAATGATTTAAAAGTCAACTGATAATTTAAATTAAAAAACAATAATGTACTGGGGGTTTATAACATGTGTAAGGAAGGTATCTATAATAATAAAAGCATAATATGCTAATTAGACCAGACATCCTTCCGGACGACCTTCCAGACAAAGCTGGGCTGTGAGGGAAGCCCGGGTCCCAGGTGCCAGAGGGAAGCAGGTGCTGGCAGCTGGGAGAAGGACGGCCTACTCTTGCATGAATTTCGTCCATCAGGCCTCTAGTATGATAAGAAAAGCACACAGCACAGGAGGGGAAGTACATTGTTGTGAGGCTCAGAGTAATGACCAATAGGAGATATAAAAATAATTACTGGGGGAGAAGTTGGGAGAGGGTCAGGAAGTAAGAAAAAACAAAACAGAAAGGACATTTAAAACAAATAAGAAAATTGAAAAATTATAAGTAATTAACACCCCAATTAAAAGGCAGAGCTTTTCAAAATGGCTAAGAAAAGAAGATCCAGCCATATGTTTTGAAGAGATACACTTTAAACATAAAAAGACAGACAGGATGAAAATGATGAAAAGAAAAATATACCATCTAAACAGTGAACCTCAGAAAGCTTGGTGTGGTTACATTAATTTTGGACAAAGTAGACTTCATTATGAGGAGTATTCCCAGAAATAAAAAGGTTCATTTTATAAAATATAGATCAGTTCATCAAGAAGCCATAAAATTCCTGCCCTGGCCTGATAGCTCAGTTGGTTAGAGTCATCCTGATACACCAGGTTGTGGGTTTGATCCCTGGTCAGGGCACTTGCAAGAATCAACCAATAAATGCATAAATAAGTGGAACAACAAGTGGATATTTCTCTCTCTCTTTCCTTGCATCACCTTTCAACATCTCGTGGAGTCAATGCCATATTTATATTTTTATATGTCATATTTATATTTTTATATGTATATATATATATATATATACTGAGTGCCCAGATTATTATAACCACCTGACGTTTGTAGGCAAATTAGCTATAATTTCATGCTGAAGTTGCTAGAGGGCCAGACCATTATAAATAGGGAAGCAGGTTATTTACCACGGATAGTAGAAGTGATTTTTTTCTGAAGATATTGGTAAACAACATGATTTAACACCCTTTGAATGTGGGTTATATTTGAAC